TTAAAATTATCGACTCGTGAACACCCTTAAGATGTTAACCCGTGGCATCTGACTTTAGGAGAATTCAAAAGTGAGTCAAAATTAATTTACCATATATATATATATATGATAAGAGATTTTTTTATTTCAAAAGTAAGTCTATTTAAACTTATTCCGTTCAATAACTCATGTTTTACATTAAATTTCAACGATTTAATCGTTGAATTTAAAGTTCTTAATGCATAGATCAAATCTACAAATTTTTAAAAAAAATTAAAAATTATTTGATACTTCGTTTTATTAATTCAAATCAATATATAAAATGATTTTATGATTATCCGTCAATTTGAATTAATGAAATGAAGTATTAAATAATTTTTAAATTTTTTAAAAATTTGCATATTTGATCTATATATTAAAAAATTTTAAATTCAACGATTGAATCGTTGAAATTTAATGTAGAACATGAGTTATTGAACGAAGTAATAGACTTACTCTTGGAATAAAATGATCTTTTCTCTCTCTATATATATATATTCAATACTAACCCTATGATGAAAGCCCCATGCGAAATGCTTAATACAAGAACCCTAGGTTGAATATTCTCTAAGAAATGAATCACAGATACCTTGACTGAAGAATCCTATGTTGATAAGTTTTCATGGAGGTGAGGAAGAGAGAGATCGATTTGTCATTGAGGAAAAGATTACTCTATTCGCTCACTCTTTCACCATGGAGACGATTAAGGAGGAGATGATTTTTTTCGAAATCTTCGCATGCATGCAAGTGAAAGAGAGAGACAAAAGCATGTTAATGTGTTCAATTAAATTTTTGTTTTTTAAATAAATCAAAACTGATAACATAACTTATAACTAATAAAAAAAAAATCTTACTGATTGCAGCGGTTATAAAACGTCAAAAATAAATAAATAACAAACTATTTAAAGTGAATATTATTGTAGCGGTTACAAAATTCGTCATAATCATATCATTTTCTGGCGGTTTGTAATAACCTCCACAAATTAACCGAATTATTTTTTTAGAGTTTGAATATTCTTAGAACTAAATATCGCGTGGTGATAACCGCCACAAATTCTTCAGATATTAACCCGTGGTATCTGGCTTTAGGAGAATTGAAAGTGAGTCAAAATTAATTTACCATATCACCTATGTCAAATCCTGTCTCCCGCAATACTTTATAAAATGAGTTCATTAGAAGTGAGATGCAGATTAAGGCTTGTCCATGACAATATACAGTAATGAATTATCTAATAAATTGAACAATACTAACCTTAATCTAATACATACTTGCCTTAAAATTCAATATCACATTTAAAAATTGGCATTTTCTTTGGTGTAAGTTTATTTTAGGGGTACCAAAATCCTCTGTGACTAGGACCACACACTAGTGGAAAATTAGCATATTACGTCACCCCTTTTACGTCAGAAATACGAAAATTCGACGTAAAAAAAATGCGGTGGCATTTTTGTAATTTTTGCAAACTTTTTGTTAGAATAAATAAATTTAATAGAGCACAATAAAAATAAATATTTAGATTTATCAATAAAAACCAATATCAACAACACAATGAATATTATAAAATTAAAACAGAGCAATCAGTAACAACTAGTTAAACACAAAGAGTAAATAAAATTATTAGATAAGAAGTTTAGAGTAGCCTGGGTTGAAGCACGCAGAGCGCTATCCTTAGAGAGAAAACGCCCCCACTGCACTGGTAATTTTGAGCCTTATAGTGCGCTCCTCTCCCAAGATACGTCAACCCGTTAGACCGTTCGAGTGCAGCGAAAGATCCCCGAACCAAAGAACACCGCTCCAAAATTATAATTTTTAGTAGAAATAATATTGAGGGAGAGAAAATATGAACTTGCTGTATAATCTTTTTCTACATCGTTTCACGTTCCAGGGTCACTCTATATATATAAGCACAATATATTTTTTAGATAAAGGATGTGCCCACGTTTTGCAAATTTTTCCGGTAACCAAAAAGTGTACGTTGTGTGTGGATGTGCACTAGCTTTTCGGAACAGTGAGTGTGCGTGGTACATGTGCTAACCAATTTGAAAGCAAAAACATTACGTGGTCAGGAAGAGAATAAAAACAAAACTATACCATATCCTCCGTTTTGAAACGTTAAAAAGAAATAATTATATTAAATATTTAATTTAAATTTTAAATTATAAAATAATTTTTTAACACTTTTTTACGTCGGACCTGGTAGGGTCGGACGTAAAAAGTCCAATCTACGTCAGAGGTGTGTTGCGTCCGACGTAGATTGGACTTTTTACGTCGGACCCTACCAGGTCCGACGTAAAAAAGGACGCAAATTTGAATAAGAGAGCGCGAGGTACACCGCGCTCATTCACTTTTCATTTTTTTCTCTCTAAACCCTCTCCCTCTCCTTTGTTACTGAATCGTTTTCTTGTCTTTTGCAGAGGAATGAACTCTTTGTTACTCATTTGCACATTGTTGCTGCTTCTTAGGTATGAATCAAGGTTTCGTTAGCACTTTTTTTACTTCGCATTGCTACTCTGGCTATCTATTTTATTTGATTTTTTGGTTGTTCTAATTGTGTAGGTAGTGGGCGTTTTCTTTTGGGTTGTTATACGAAGTTGAATGGCTTGTTCTGCAAGCAGAACGGCCGGCATTTTTATGTTTTTTTTATTATTTTTTTTCCTACTTTTTTACGTCGGATGTCTTAATGTCCGACGTAAATTTACGTCAGTTTTGAAGATCCGACGTAAAATTTACGTCTCCCGCTTCTACGTCGGTACGTTTTCTGACGTAAAAAGCTGAAAATATCCGACGTAATACACCTCTTTTGTACTAGTGACATAAAGGATGACATGTGTTAATTTTGTCAGAACTTGTATTTTTTTAAGAATGTTTTAATATTTGTTATTTAACCCTCATTAATTATATCCTTTTAAATAATAGTCCCTAGTCTATTTAAATATGTTTTATCTTCTTCATTTCCCTACCTTTTCATTTTCATTTTTCAATCTTCTCTGTGGCACATCTCTGGCTCCGGTGTTCTCCGTACCAAAAGCTTCATCAAAGACGGTATATTTTTATAATATTAATCATAAATTAATATCAATAATGTTATTAGTATATTTATACATAAACTAATAATTTGATAAATATAACTTATTATATATTAATATACTTTTACAAAAATATAAATATACATATCTTATCTACTATATTTATATTTTTGTAAAAGTATATTAATATATACTAAGTTATATTTATCAAATTATCAATTTATCTATAAATATACTAAAAATATTATTGATATTAATTTATTAGCAATATTAAATTATTAATAATATATAAATTTTATTTATTTAGTAATAATAAATATATATCATTTGTTACATTAATAAAAATTATAGTATATGTTAACTTAAATAAGCAAATAAT